TCAGTGTACCGTTTTTTTTTTTTTAAATAGATATCGAGAGGCAGGGCCGGTCGTGTTGCAGTCACGGCAAATCACGCTGAAGACCACGTGTGTCTCGTGTTTGTTTTACATTACCACATAGAATAAAGCGAGGACATTTACCAAATTATAGGTACACCTGAGTGTGCTGAATTCTCATTCGATTGTTGGCTATATAGAATATCTCATTTTCATTTCAAATATTCAAATCGTAAAATATTTATGTAAATGAGTTTTTAGATAAAGGTTCCGTACATGTTGCGTGTAATTGTAATTGTAGTATATGACATATGTCTCTAGAAAAATCAAGTTGAATTTAGAATCCAGCTGTTGTGGAAATGTAATACAATTAAAACATTTGTCGCTTTTTTAATGTGGTTAATAGACCATCTTTCGAAAACCCGTAAACTTTTGATCATTGTTTTACTCAAAAATGTATCATTGGTATATCGATCGTGGTAATGTAATACAACCGAGGACAGAATAACGTGTTCTTTGCATGTACGTGAGTCTGAAGGCGCGCGTAATCCCAATGAGTAAAATACAAGCTAGCAATTTGTCAATTGTTTTTTTATTTACCACAATGTCTCGTTAGCGCTTTCGAATCCTGTGCATTTAAATACAAATATGTGTAAGGCGCTAACTACAGTTTACGCGCGGACGCAACAAACGGAAATGCATCATCCTTAGCGCGTGTGTAAGACGAAGCGTTTTCACAGTCATCACGCACAAGAAACAGTCATAGTACTTCGTCCTATGTTTTACATGAAACTAACATTGCACGGAATTGTCGCCTCGATACTGAAACAAACGTAGAGTCGCTAAGCTGGTCCAATTCCAAGACACATTTGTATTACAATTAAAAACCCCCCATGACACAAAGTTACACGTGATCCCATTTTGCAATCATATCCCCACTGAAAACGACAATCAAAACCATTAACAGGGTAGCACTTAAGGTATTTCTAAAGGTTCATAAGTTGACTTATATGTAATTTATATTTGTAGCTCGTACCTTTGATCAATTTGATTTGAAATCGGGTTAAGTGAAAATCTTTTCTACTGAATAGTACTTCAAAGTGCCACTATACGGCATCAATTTCAATTCAAAATCTATAATTTGACACCTTTTGACTTGCCATTCAAACATGCTCTTCAACTAATAAATTTCCCCTTCAGTGCTTCGAGTAATCATATACAAATGGTAATCTTGAATGTGTTGCAATGGTTCTCGACACAAAATGATACAGGAACTGTGGCACTAGTCTTGTGTATACCGACCTCCTTAGTACGATTATTTTTATAACTAGCGGGAAGCCACGAAACAAGCCCTTCGTACCACACTGATAGCATTATTTATTTATTTAAATAATACGTTACAATGAATCAGTGTGGGAGCGGAACTCGTTACCATGGAACCTATACGTCATATTTTGTCCTGCCAGTAGAGTTAGTATTCGTATAAAGCCGGACTTTGAAGGTTTCCTATTAGAGAACAAATGTTAAGAAGAAATCGCTTTTTTTCTCCAAATCGCGTTAGTTTCCTTCTATGCTCCATTCACATAAATGAAACAAGTAGTCACGTTACATGATCGGTGTTTGATAATAATGCAAAGCTAGCGACGTGGTTGATACATATCTGCGGGCGCGAGACATCCGGGGATTTACACCGCCTGGCAACCATCACGCTGGAAACAAAGGCCGACAACTTGTTGAGACTCTCCTGAACTGTGTAACAAGATTACCCCCAACTTGTGCAACATATATAAATTTCGTTGCTCAGGATTATTTCAAATTTGAGTTTGTGCTGTTTCCTTGACTTTAGCTTTTTTCACCGGCAGAGTCCATAGAGATACAAGGCACAGTGGCGCGCGTCTTAGCAACGTACAAAGTTTTGTGACGTAGCCTCGCCCCGAGGATTGACATATAACACAAGTACTATGACTACCTAAAGTGAATATTCAATGATTCTCTCACGTGAAAGGGTCGCCAAATAAAATAATAGATGATGTGTTATTTTTTGCGTAGCTTTTCTAAACGACATTCTTATGGGAACAATAAACTTTAGAAACTGTAATTATTAAAATGTAAACATTTTGGAAATGCCATGGTGTTTCATTGATTATGATTCTATTAGATGAATATTTTTCTTAGCGCAATCTTTATTGAAGTTGAACAAGTGGAGTAATACAGATATCTTGACGATCGTTCTTGTCATTCATTGCGGCTATTGGACTAAATTAAGATATACTAGGATTATGTATATTATCAATAATTAAACCCGATTGTATGCATCACGTCGTTAAGTTAGTTTCCTTATAAAGCCGTGAGTCGCAATTAAATCTAGTCCTGTTTCCTTCGTGGTAAAAATCACGTGTTTAATTAATAAAATTAATTATAAAAATACGCTTGCGGGTAAATGTGGAGCGCGTAGTTGTTTACTTGCGGCGTGTGACGACTGTGGCACGTTGATGATTTATGAAATGGACAATCTCGGTAACAAATGATACAACCAGCGCCATGCGAGATGCTGAGTTAACAGAGCTTTGAGTTAAGGAGAACCTATATTTTTGTTTTTGTTTAACGTTGTATATTTTCCATAATTCGAAGTTCGTTTAACTGATAATTAAAATTCGAGTTACGAAATTTGATAGTGAACAAAACAAAAAATAGATGTTGCCCATAACTTGAAGTTTTGTTAATTGTTAATTAGACATCGAGTTACAATTTGTGCGTGGTTTCGCAAAAGTTGGTTTCTGAAATATTGGCGTGGTCATTTTTGTAACTTGATGTTTTCGTAACTCGGTGTCTGTGACTCGAAGAATTCAGCATCTTTGGCCACGCAAATTGAATGGCGCCGGTAGTATCTGCTTTTGCTTCCGATAACAGCACGAGATTTGTATACGTCGCGTGGCACGACATCGAACACGAAATAAGCGGTGTGACGACTGCGACTTTATGTTCCTGGTCGTAATTGGTCTCAGACACATGGCCGTCGTGATCTCCTTGGGAGCGAGAAAGTCACGAGACTTCTTTTGCCCCTAAAATAATGTTCAAATCTAATCTGTCATCGCTCCCACTGTCGCAAATGTCATGATGGGATACAAGACGGGATAGAGCGAAACATTATTTGTGGGGTGAGAAATTTTTGAGTTTGAGCGCTTCAACCGAAATCTCGTTCTAAATTCGCGTAAACAGTCATTGTATTTTACACGCATTATACACAGTGACAGTGCGTTGATAATGATTTTGAGGAAACTTATTCACATCACATGTTGGTCCAAAGTACAGATTACAATGTGTAACCAGGCGAACGGTGCATTAGACACACAGACAGTTCACGCGAGACCACACATGTACAGCTGCATACTTACATCTGTATTACAAACGCACCTACCTTGAACATATCCCGTCATATCCCTATCCACCTCGTTAAGACCAACTAAAAAAAACAACCCCCCGAACGCAAACAGCGTGATAATGCTCAGATGAACTGAACTACTCACTGAGAATGTTCCATTGACTATGTCCGTCATCTCCAGTAAAGAATAATCCGCGTCTCGATCTCCATTTTCGTCTATGCGCACATCGCCGCTGATACCTGTTGACGGAAACGAGTGCTCAATTTAATATGTTATCCGAATTGTATGATGGGTAATAATATTAGCCATATTTTAACGCAGTGCTCAATATAGATTTTAATAGTAGATTTAACGTGTGATTAATAAATTAACAAATTCGCAAGAGTTTATCATTGTATAGGCAACATGTATGATGATTATATTACATGTACTATATGCGTATGGTTTATGAAACCGCTGCCTTTACTTTGACTATATGTGGCGCGAATATTAATATCCGCTCAGACTCGGCGAAGAAGATTCGTTACAACTAACTTATTGACGTTTTTCGGGTGCTACACGTACGACGACTGTTAAATTACGTTTAATCACGCCAGATTTCACCCGGTCAATAAACAAATAAAAATAAAGATGTAATAATCTTTAAAAATAATGGGTATTCATCGGTTTTTGCAATCGGAAATTAAGGTTAAGACATCATCGGTCTCATGGGCCTGTGAGAATACATCAAAGGTTATCCAAGTCATTGTCACGATGTTCAGACGTGGCCAGACGATGCTGATTTAACGGCAGCCAATCCGTCTCGAGTTGAGCGCAGCGGCGCATGCGTGCCGCCATTTTATTTGTTTTCTACTTCCTGTTTTTATTAACAATAACTTGCATCACAATGACCGCGGTACCAATGGATCAATGACGTAGGTTATCTCACAGCTTGTCACAGGGCTATATGACCTTGAAGAATTTGCATTAACTGCATTTCCACAGCGGGAGAAACGGAAATGGCGTAAAATTTCAATTTCTCCGTTCTAAATGAAAAAAAAATACAAACGTCTTTCTCATAAAGTCGGCGGAAAGGAAGTACGTTGTAACTGTTTATCATGCATAAACCAACATACTATATATAACGAATTCCACCCTGCCGCTTTCTGTCGTCTGCAACCAAGTCTGTACGAAATAAACACATGCCAGTAATCATTGGGACGTTATTTTTTACCTCCAAATTATTTTTTAACATTTTCCAATTTTTACGTTTTTTTTTAATATTTCTTTTGTTAATTTTGAAGCAGTTGGTCACAATTTCTCATTATTTACAGGGCTTGGTCACCATTGTTGAAAAAATATGGAAAAAATTAAAAGGATTTATTTTCTGAAGGAGACAATTGTTTACATTAGAGTCCAATGTTCCCTGCTGGAATACACAAAAGTATGCACGAATTGTTTATGGCTCATAATTTCTCTAAATAACCCGAGGTTTTTAAGTTTAGCCAAATGGAGTCACTGTGTTTTTGCATTTCTTGGTTCTGTGGTGATTTTAGTGAGCAACGTTTATATTGCACATATGTTTAACTGAAACGTTCGGTTCGGGGGAGCAGAAGATACCCCCGTGAATAGTACATGACTTAATAAATTGTGTGGCGAAACCCAAAGGTTACGCTGACAGATAAATATATAACGACTGCTTTGACATGTTGTACAGAGTTTAGAAGCAGTGTGTAACGAAATGTTTGGGTAGCGAAAACCATGTATTTTACAGTAAAATATCTTACTGGGTTAGGGTGGGGAATGATTAAAGAATCTCCATAACGAAAAACGCATGTTTCATGCGGAATAATAAAGTTACATATTTGATTGAACAAGCCCGGGAAACCGTAGTCGAAAGTTATTTCTAAGAAGGTGTAATTGATTTCACCGCCATACATCAATGTCACTTGTTCTATCGGCGTTTAGAGGTTCACTAATGCTCCGATATTAGGAACGCAAATTGGCGATACATTCCAGGTTGCTGCTTTTAATTCCTGGAGCTTAAAAGCTGACAGTAACGTATCCGGCCCGATTTCTCTTCCGTGATATGCCCATTACTTTGCCATGCTGATGAAATCAGTTCATGATTTGACGTGACAGATCACGTGTTGAGTATACCTTGCAATGGACAAGGCTGTATTTTTTTTTTTACATCAGATACAAAGCGGTATTTCGCGATATGATGTTGCATGGGTGTGGCGTGATCCTCCTGTGGGTGTGATATTTATGAATCTGAAGTTCATTGCTTTATTGCCATCGACATAGTTGCATGTAGATAATACACGAGAAATGTTTGCCTAAACTCACCTTTGAAAGTTCTACCCCACATTTTGTGTGTGATTGTATGGCCATCACGTGGGGTGCCGCCTTCTTCCAGGGTCTCATTGAGTGCCAAAGCATACAATATAACAGCATCGTGGAAAGCACCAACAAAACTGTTCACCTACAACGAGATGTTATTTTTTACGATAACATTATTATACAATTGTACATTGGATATAGAATAAATAAAACTGTGTCTGTGTGATATACACCATTGTGAGAAATGTCATGCAAAACTGCAAATCCTACATGTTTCAACATTAATATGCTCGAACGTACAAATGGTCACTTTAAAGTATATGTCTATAGTTGTAATGTATTTGTGACGCCCAAATGGCTATCAAATCTTTATGATATTATTAACAAGTGTCAGGCACGCAGGCAAGTATATAATTTACGGCACGCCATGCATTGCTCTTTGTAGTACTTCATAGATTACATTATTGAATGCACGCTACAATGTACGTCCTACTAATTTACCTGGCAAATGTTAGTTCCCTTTAATACAGGGTTTCGTATTGTGTCGTAGCATAAAATAAACTTGTCTGTCACAGTCACGAAGCCAAACAGAAGATCATTGGGCCATCGATTCCAAGAAGGCCTGTATTATTTGTCACAATCGATACGCGCCCGATGCTTAAATTATTCAAAGAACACCGTTGGGTAATGAATATACGATGAGTTTGCTCAACGAGCGTATTTCTGACTATGCATTAGACTGTATATTATTGATGGCTTGAGCAGTAGCTGTCAGGAAATCCTCAGATTTAGACTTAATCCTTATCGTGGCTTATGTATTCCGCTGAGTTTATCGCACGCCTCGAGCAGATTTAGACGAATAAGGCTTCTCTAATGAGGCGATGCTAAAAGAGATTATCAAATCTAGTTATTGAAAGACTTGACCTTCATGTATGTCATGTGACATATAGACACAGGTGACTAGACAAAAATTTTGACCGATACATAATACCCACTGTATATATCGTCTTAAAAGACATATTGATATAATGTATGTTATGATGGATGTGTTATGTAGTACATCGACACCATTTGTATCATTAGTCTGTATTATGTGATATATCGATATGATTTTTTAATTTAGGCTATGTTACAGTATAGGGTTGATGTAAAATGAACAAATGTTAGCTGTGGGAACAAACAAACACGACTAAAATGTATAACTAAATACAGGTGATTGACAGCTCGTGGCGAAGCCCTAAAGCTCACAACTCGGTCTGATGACGTCACAGCATGATTTTATCTGAAAGTTAAGCAGTGATAAACAGTTTTCAAAGTTAAACTGCAGCCTAATTTTCAGATAATTTCCAGCCATGACGTCATCAGTGTGAATAGTGTTTCTCTTTTTTGCACCTCGTACTTGCTCCAGGTTTTTCGCCATGAGTTGACAAGACTCAATTAAGACTCAATGAAATTAGGCAAACCTTAATAAAAAATAAAAAATAAATATTTTCTTACGGATTCATTTGCTTTGTCGTAGTCGAAATTGTAATCATCCAGAGCTCGCTGTTTCACATCTCTAGCAAATGCGTGATATTCTTTCGTATCAGGCTTTCTCAAAGTCAAAGTCATCAGGGAACGATAAGCTTCTTTCGCGTCCTCGTCTCTTCCATCGCCACCCTCTCCTCTCTTCCAACCAATATCTCCGAAGTAGGCACTGTCGAATAGTTGTATGTTAAAGAAGGCGTATTCAGCTCGACCAGTTTCTTTGTTTATCTTCGTCATCCCCAGTCATGAGGCGGCTAACATGATTTTTCTGACAGCCTCTCCAGATGCACATATCACCACAACTGTTTGGAGAACAAAACAAAGTTCAAATCTATAAGGCACTCGGAAAGCCCAAATCTCTGCCACAGGTGCAAAGTACCTATCAATACTTATCTACCAATGATGAACCCCCCTTTCCCAAATTTTCTGTCTTCATGGCAACTGGGCCCTAATCTCACTTAAAATCTAATTGATAAGTTTTTGTCTGAAAGGAAAGCTCTCGTAAATATTTCATGGTCGTTCGTACACAATTTGTTGAGTTATCTGTCAATAATAGAGACTCCGTGACAACGGGGTCCAGATCTTTCCCAAAATCTAAAAGAAAGTCCCTTCTAACACGTATGTCACCCATATTTGTTAAGTTACCCTGCTCATAGACAAGAAACTAAAATATAGTATAGGGAATAAGTGACACTAAAATGACTTGTGTGAATGTGACGTCACATTCTTATGGAAACAGCGATTAAAGGGCGGCAGTCGTCGTGCCGCGTCCTGTTCGATATGGGACTCATAGCGACGCATACAACGCGTGTAAAATACATTGTTTATTTACATGAAATTCGAACACGCGCTGCGTGACGACTACCGCGCTTTAAATATGTCACAACGCTCCTGCACCTACAGTATGCAAGAACAAAAACACATAATATTACCATATAGTGTTATATACGTTCTCAAGATGCGGGAATTTGACATTTGAAGTAAAATCGCATCATCTTCATTTCTAACAACATGGACTTTCCCTTTTCAATGTTAATTCGCAAGTCATCAAGATACTACCATTTGAAAATCATCGTAGACTTCTCAAAATTCCTCCGTATATACAACACATAGTGAAATGTTGTAAAAGCTCCAAGTTTTTGGGGCGAATATATGGTGTCAATTTGAAAATATTGTAATATTTTACCTCCACTGACACCCATTTTATACATACAAAAATCCCTATTAGATAAATGTGTATTGCCAATTAAGTTCTATACTATCTGTGTAATACACGTACATCACATTTCAGGTGAACAAAACACGGAGGTTCCAAAACAGAAGAAGCTTACAACAATCTTTTTTCTGCACATACTTTCACATTTTACTGATGGCCAAAGCATTCCGATTAAATAAATTGTAATTGTGATGTTCGGAACTTTATATCTATATATTCTAACGTACGTCGTAAACACCACAAGAAGGGATGTTGGGTTACAAACCCAAGGGATGTTGAGAAAACAAACACGCCTACAAACGGGCTGCAATCAAGACAATAGTTTTAGAGAAAAATCTGTAGTATGTATTAGATAGTGTCTGATAAGTGGACACAATATATACTATCGTGCACGTATAATAAGACCGAGCGCTTGTGGCGAATTCATCTCATTAGCATATTTTTTTTATTTTTTCTCAGACAGTCTTTTTTTATACAGTTTCTGCTTTATTCAACAGAATCTGGGAACAATGTATTGCGCACGACTAGATGTACACAGTTCCATCAGATAAGCATATCCAACTCTCAGTTTATCGTTGTAGCACGGAGTTCATTTTTGGGAAGGGAACTATTTGTGATTTTATCGATTATTAGCGAGAAGATTGTGTGACAACATCGCGTGTAAAAATGGGACTATTCAATAGTGCATTAATCGTGAAGGAATATCATTTTTTTTTCATTCAATATATATCCCCTTATGGTTTTAATTTTTGTTTCATTTGCGCACATACACATTAAAGCCACTGATTGATCTACGAGAAACTTGATACTAAACGTCAAGACATGTTTATTTAGCAATACAAATTAATTCTAATGTCTTCTACTACAAAAAAAGTAACAGTGTCAGTGTCATGCTGAAACACAGTCTAACCACCGTAGTGTAACTCACCGGGAACCCACTACCATGCACTAACACATTGCCACGCAATCAACAAACCATGACGCCCACTCATGCCATCTCACACGGAGAACATGTCAACCAAGAATCATAGTTCCACAATAAAACACGCCGGCCAGTCAAACCGAGAAGCATCATCTTTTCTATAGGACCACGTGAACATCGCAGTGCCATTTCTCGAATCCACCAATATACACGCGCACACTAATCAACAGCGTCGCATGGGAACCCGCTCGCCAATCGTAGTGCCACGCTGAGAACACATCGACCAATTATAAAGTCGCAGTGGTAACGTGCCCGCCAATCACAATGTCACACGAGAACATGCCCACCAATCATTGGGCTGAACTCACCAACAAGCCGAGAAAAACATCGAAAAAAACACGAGCTGCATTCATGAGAATAAAATCTTCTGTCATAAGACACATGTATGTCGTCAATACCAACCACAACTTAGTGTGTTTCATAACCCCGGTAACTAAGTGATTTGGTAATGACAAACCAAAGAATTCAAATGCTCAAATTTAAAGTAGTAATTTGACGTATATATAACATGCTGATTATCCAGAGAAAACGCCGATTTGAGACAGAAAGTCTCCATTAACTCGGGCACCTCGTTAGTCTTTGAAGCAATTCCCCCCTGCATGTATGCTACCCCGTGGCCATCTCGATACATTCATCTATTTTCGCCGCAGGTCTCAAATTATTCACCACAAATCTTGTCAGTATCTATGTATGCATGTATATATGTATTAGAGACAGCAAGGCTACTATTTGGAGTCTGTCAATCAGATACTATTAATGACTAGTAGGTCACGGAGCAGAAAATTCACTTCTATCTGAACGCAAATTTCGCCCAATTACAATAACAGTGGTTATGAGTTTTTTTTTCTTCTAAATGGCAGCTACGGTTGTTGTACCACAATATGTAGCGCTAGAGGTTAACCGGTAATTCGAAGACGATTCTACTGAAGCGATCTATGTAACGACGAGCACGTCGGATTAAATATACTCAAGTTGTCTTGGTGACACTTACAATAACAGAGAGCATGTCATTTTTTTTGCCACGAATCCAGTAACAATTTAGAAATATTGAATAACATGTCTTCCAATCAAAAATCAAAAAATGGTAAATAACGTCGCCAGACACAGTATCTCCTATGGCGGCGCCAGGCTGTGGAGCCATGCACCCTCTCACCAAAGATACAGATATCTAAATTTGTAAAACAACAACTCTGGCAATGCCAAGTTAACGCCCACTAGTGATAGCAGTGAGGCATCTTTTGTTTACGCAGTGTAATTATTTTTTGATTAATGTCGGCAACTACGCATTATCACTGTGGCTATCCATAGCGATTATTTAACAGATATGAAATTGACATTTGTTGACTGTTCATGAACTGACACGGTGTACATAGGGATTCTGGTTGATACTCAAGTTTAAGTAGGTATCACAATGATGACCCTTTAAAAACAATAACGGAAGATATTACCAGAAAGACCCCCTAGGACGGTGGAGATACATTTTTCCCATAAATCAGGTATCGATGGACATGTTGGACATTATTTGTTGGCTGGCGTGGGTAGTCATCAACCGCCGGATTCTCAACTAAAGCGGCACTTTCCATATTTGGGTATATAGACAATCACGTCACGAATACAAACAAGCCAGAATGAGACCCAACTTATTTTTTTTTTTGATATATATGTACTAAATTTGCCCAACAGTATTTTAATTACACTCATTGTGATTGGCACCCCACAATGCCGTGTAGCGTTGCTATGGCGACATATCTTATAACCAACTGGTTATACCGGTATACATATGTTTCAGTATCCACTGACGGAATATTCGAATGAACAACAATAACAATGTAGTCACAGTTGGTGCAGTTGTGATGGAAATACAGAAACAAATTGTTCAAAAAAATAAGCGCATGTTATTTGATTTCACCTACAAACAAATACACCAATACAGACTAGTCGGGGGTCTTGGTGCCCGTGTAGCGATATTGATACACACGCGACAGTCGATTCACTGATGTCCGCTCTTTATGAATACTTATATATTTCACGGTTTCGTGTATAGATTTCATCGTCAGAGGAACTGATTATTATTTATATGAGGGTCGCAAAAAAATAAATCATGGAGCTTGTCGCGGTTGAAACAGAAATGTTTTGTACGTGCCCTTATGCAGTATAGGCAGCATTTGGTCTCATACTGTGGGTGATAAGTACATTAAACCCTTATTTCTCATTGGTTAACCCGGATTCCTTTTAATGTTGAAATGAATGATGTTTTCTCTGTATGTTTCAATTCTTGGATTATCCACTGCTTTATCTTCAACGACCTCTCATACGGTTTTATAAACACATTGTTGAAATACGTTCTTTACTAACAAACCCCGCAAATGGGTTTCAAATTTTAAAAGGCTATTATTGCCTGCACATTTCTTTCAACATGCTATTTCCAATGCATATTTGTTAAGACGTCTCGGTGGAAATAAAAGACACCATGGCTTTATATCATAGATGCTTGTCTGTGATGCCATTTACCTGCACATCGTATGAGTATGTACCCTATGATTAAATTCATCATCGATGTGATATTGTCTATAAACATGGCTCGAGTATTTTCAAATATATCCCTAGCAAAATTTTACCCACGTGATTCGAGAGAGTATTTATTTATTTTATTTTTAATTTGAATATGGAGATTATGATGAAGCTACGGCGTATAATTTATCGTATGACGAGAATGTGTCGTGCAGTATGAAATCACGTTGTTGTGGTTTATACGACTGGTTTGGGATAAATTTAGAATAAATCCGTCGCCAGCTTGCAAACATCCGACACCACGACGTGCTCCTGTTACCTACAGCCTGAGGTTAATTTAACAGCACCACGTAAATCATGCGATACTCACTCACAAATATTAACGCCGACGTTTAATACATCAAATCGATATTACCATTGTTCGGCAGGTTCTCGAACTCAAAAATTATCTTAACAATAAATCACATGGCCGATCCACAAAGAACATTATTACGAATTTGTTTTAGAGTTCTGTACGTAAATTTTAAAAACAATAGTGATATATCGCATAGTTTATTATTTTGCCCATTTTTGTAGTT